AAGCTGAGCCATCCTGCCACCTGTTGGCAGCTCAGCGGCTGCTCAGCTCGGGCTGGGAATCGAACCACTGTTGCTCAGAGCTCAAACTCTTGAGCTAGCTCTTAACCAACTGAACCACTTGGCCGGCCCCTGCCTTTTCATTTTTTAATGTTTCATTTGATGATCATAAATTTTAAAATATTGTTGAAATCCAACTTATAAATCTTTTTCTCTTTTGGGTATTTATTTTTATGTGCTAAGTACTCTTTCTATATCCCAAGGTTGTGAAGATAATCTGTTGTTTCTTGTAGAAGTTTTATAGTCTTAGCTTTTATGTTTAGGTCTGTGATCCATTTCAAATTAATTTTCATGTGTGATGTTAGGTAGAGGCTGAGGTTCATTTCCCCCCATGCATTTACTGTTTCCACACTATTTTTTCAAGGCTTTACTTTCTCATTGAATAGCCTTCCTCTCTTTGTGAAAAAACAATTGACCATATATGGGAACCACAGGTTTGTTGTCCGCTCCTATAGTTTGCCTTTTGCAGAATGTCTTATAAATGGAATCATACAGCATGTAAAGGAAAACTAATGAAATTATATAGTATTTTTGATATACCAAAGAAATCTGTGTAAAAGGTATCCATCCTTTATTTTCAGGTTTTTTTTTTTTTGTTGTTGTTGTTCTCAAAATAAGACTGTTTTTTGGGAGGAGAATTTTTGAATATTATTTTTGAAATTATACACACTAAGGGACATTTTAGTACTAGGAATGCTTCTATCCCATTTAAAGGAAATATTCCTTATGTTTACTTTAAAAAGATTGGCTTTTAATCTCCTTATGTAAAGAACATAGTATTTTTTTTTTTTTTGAAAATTTGCTCTTATAGCTTTTTCCAGCCTTACCATCAAACAAGCTTTGTTCTTGAAGAACAATTCACAGTAAATAATGCAGTACCTCTGATGGTCCCTGTGGAATATCAGAATTAATTTAAAACAGAATTCTGACATGTTGATCAGTTCCAAATTATTTTTGGAAACTATCTTTTTTTGATTGTATATTTTTTTCTCTTTACATTTGAAAAGCTTTTTATTCAGTGCCTATTATTGGCAAAACACTGTGGTAACCACCAAGGAAAATTATATAAAGAATTATTTAATTCATTCAATATTTATTAAATACCTATGGGGTATAGAGCACTGTGACAGGCACTGTAGTAAATTATTCCTGGCCTCCAGGAATTAGCACTCTATTGTATTTGAGGGAGAGTAGATATACACACATGGTGTAAATAAGTAGCAGTGCAGGAATTAAATGCTTGAGTAGTTTAATTATGTTCAGAGATGGTCAAGTTCAGTGTGGGAATGATAGTAAAAGGCATCATGGACTAGATAGACTCTGAAATGGGTTCTGAAGATTAGAATTTGAATAACATTAGGGGAGTGGAAAGGGAAAGAACCTGGGGGTGCTTGAGAACGTGGTTAAATTGTGAAAAGTGCCGGTGAGGTTCCTGTCTAGATACTAAACGAGCAGATGTTTCTCCCTTTTTTTTTCTAGCCAAGTCTTATGGGAGAAGGTGAAGCCTTTACATGAGAAGGAATGTGGGGGTGTTGTGACTTGAGTGGAGAACCTTGGTTTAGTAAAGACAAAGAGGCTAAGCAATAGGATTGGATCGACATAATCTGACATAGCATTGAAATGGGCGTGAATGGCTGCTGGTGATGGTAGCTGGAACTAGGGTGGTAACAGTGGAGATGGATCAGGATGTATGTCTTTTTCCCTAATGGTTTTGATTTGGGAATGCAGAGAATAGGGTGAAAGAATGGGAAGAGTGACTACAAAATTTTTGACTTGGATGATTTGGTGAATGTTGGTGTAATTTCCTAATATAAAGAGGACGATTACGAACCCTTTTAGGACAAAAATAAACAGTACTGGCCTGGATATTTTAGCTTGAGGTGGCTGTGAGGCATCTTACTGGAGATGCCTACTATGATTCTGGATTTCAGTGGAGGTGCCAGGAATGTAGAAATATAATTGTAATTGTTAAGAAGTGAACAAAACTCATTAAGTATTAATATTACTGAATTTTTTTGTTAACCTAATGTTTGTCAATAAGAGCTTTGAAAATTTAATTTCATTATTTAAAAATCTTTAATTCAAATATCACTCTTTGCCAATCCTAGTTATATAGTTGATATTGGCCTGGTTGATATATTTTTTAAATAACCTTTGATACTTGGTATTTGATTATAATTACTTGAACCGAGAATGATTAAGACAGCAGATGGTTGTTAAATGGTCTTTAGAGATTATTTATTTTTAAACAGACTTCTCATGTATTCTTTTTTTTCTTTTAACAATTTTTATTCTTTTAGCAATTGTGAATGGCATCTCTTTCTTACAAGTCTCATGAAATCATCCATAGTGGTAGTAATTAATATTAACCTGAACTTTTTTTTTTTTTTTAAAGATTTTTATTGGGGAATTGGGGGGATGGGAACAGTGCTGGGGAATTGGGGGAAGGGGAACAGACAAGTTGCTGTCATTTTNAGATGCTGTTCACGATTGTGAATGTGTGTAGAACGGGTTTGAAAATTATTGATAATTAAAATGAGTCCATGTTCTCTGAGATGATATTTTATTTTAATAGATTTTTGTGGTTTCTGAACATAATTAATTATCATACACATGTTACATGATTAGGATTTTCTTTCCAAGTGTTTAGAATGTGAAAAAATTGTTGGAAAATTTGATTTTATTATATGTACAATGTTCGTAGATTTGTAAATCTCATTTAAATACTTTCTTTCCCTTTGAGATATCTGAATAGCTTGAGCTTTAGGTTCCAGAAGAATATTCTTCTTAATTTTTTTTTAAGTAAAATTGGTTACACAATGAGTAACTTTATTAGAAAGAGAAGAATAAAAGATTTGTCACCTAAGCATACAAATGACACCATTTTCTGCTAAAATATGATAATTTGCCCTACTAATTCCTGTTTCATAATTTCTCTATTTTCATTTTAACTTAAAACGTTTACATGATCTTAAGGAATAAAATATAGTAGAAAATTTTGGATGGTTTTTGGAAGATGACATACAAGGAAATGGTGTGTCAGGATATCTCGTTCTCTGTTGCATTTGTTTCCGTTTAGATAAGTCATCTGGAGTATATCTGTAAAAACAAGTCTGATACGATGAGAGAGCTTCAGCAGACCCAGGAAGACACCTTCAACAAAGTGGCAGAGCAGATCAAAGCCCAGGAGGGCTGCTGGCACAAGCAAAAGAAGGAACTGGAGCTGCAGTACTCCGAGCTCCTCCTGGAGGTGCAGAAGAGGGCACAGGTATGCTGCTTTCTCAAAGAGCTTTCAAAGATGGCTGCTCATCTTTACATCAGGTGTTTTCTTTCCATACCACTGCCAAGTCCATTTGAAACTTCCTGAGTACCACACAGAACTTGTTAGACACAGGTATACATAAGCAAACACATACACGTTAATGGATATGTGTTGTGTATGCATGTGTATTAAGTATTGTCTTTCACTTAAGTTTGAAAGTAGATGGGTTTCTGGTTCATCTATCTCAGGATACATTGATCAGTTAAATGTTAAAATTGTATTTCTTTTTAAAATAAAAAGTGAAGAGATTTAAAATAAAAAGTGAAGCAAAATATTACCAGTTTTTATGTAGGTATTCTTGTACGTAGTTTACTCTACTTGTAGGGGTTCCTATGCGAACCCTCATTTTAATTCATTTGGGGTTGACATTTGTTATAACTCCTAATGTTGTATGAGAACTAGGGTTATAATTTTAGACCCTGTATCAGAATAATTGACTGTGAGATGTATCATGTCTTCTATGTTGGATTTGATTGGGAATAGAAGTGATGGGTAGTTAACATAACCATATTTTTTCCTACATAAATTATTGTCAACATAATTTATGTTGTTGCCCAATCAGGAATAATATAATGGTAGTGTATACTTTTTTAATATTGAATTTAATAATAGATCACTTGTGCTCAAGATAAGATGCTTAGGAACCAGAAGTTGTATATTCTTCCCATGTTTGATTCAGTATTTAACCTCTTATTTGGTCCACTTGTGTGTATATTGGCAAGTATAATTAAAAAGAAACCATATATATATATATATATATATATATATATATATATATATGGTTTCTTTTATATATTTTATATATTTATATAAATATATTCTTATATATATATTT